ATAGAGCACCATATTCAAAGCTGCTTCATCAATGTAAAACCATAAGAGGAACCCAATTCTCCTCCTTAGATTTTAGAGATGTCTCTCCACTCTCATATGTTTGCTATGAATGGGAATTTATATACTTTTGAATCACTTTTATGCTTTTCTGAGGTCAAAAAGTCTCGTGTGGGGCCCTGGAATATTTCCTTATGGGGGGGGCTTGGGGACAAAAAGGTTGAGAATCACGTTATCTTCAGGAAATACAATCTAATTTAATGTTGTTTTTTAATCATTTTCCAACTAAGCGAATAGACTATAAGAGAGAGTTAGAAAACCTTTAAAGAACTATACAGGGGCTTAACAGATACTTTGTATGGCAGTGATGATATATAGCACCTTAACAACCCCAAAGAACTGCTGAAGAACCTATTTTTTGGTGTGTGTGTAGTATTTATGGAGCTGAACACTACAGGTCAGCATTGTGGGTCAGTGATCACCCTTCCAAACGATTCACAACACAAATCACACACGAGCTGAAGGCTACACGTGTTAAAACGTTAGCACGCGTGACTAAAGAGTGCATGAGCAGCTGCGCTCCTGACAAACACAGGTGTGCATATAAATAAAAGCACACACTCATTTACTCGGCTCTCTGAGTGGGGAAACTCCACAGACTGCCATTGTTTTAATATGCAATTCATTTGCATTTACACTAGCAGTTAAAAAAGTTTTTTTTTTTTTTAAAGAAATTAATACTTCTCTCCTTAAATATGAAGAGTCGGAACAACAGATCATCCAAATTTCACAAAAAGCTTATGGACGTAATTCTAATACAAGTCAGACACTGAAGTGAGCTGCTGTTTTTGTCTCTTCTGAGGAAGATTCATTCACTTGTTTTGAACACAGAGAAACTTTGGTCAGATGTATATAATGTTCATCCGTACTCATTTTGTAATTGACTTTTCTTTCTGTTTTAAAGATGTTTTCTTTGGATTGTTTGACGACTCAAAAGAGAACATAGGAGAATAGGTCTCTAAATCTCTCTTTTCTTTATTCAGAGTTGATTTAGATGAGGAAATTATCCAAAGTTCTGTTCATCCTAAAGCAGTGAAAACTGCATCAGGTGAAAAAAAACATACTTTTGTATGTATGATTGGTCTTTATAGTAAAACTGCAGTTATACAAAAAAACATGGTTACTACAGTTTTACTATAGTAAAACCACAGTTAATTTTCTTAAGGGATTTGTATTTGTTTATACTTTATTTCTTTTTTATAACTGTACTGCCTTAATGGTTCATGTTTTCTATTGTTTAATAATAATTAAAAAAAGAAATAATAAAAAAAGATTTGTGAATTGTGTTTTATTTGTGATTCGAGCTCTGAAGTTCTGATCTGTATAAAAGATTCACGAACCCATTGTGCTGCTCGAGAAACATTTCTGATTTATTATCAATGTTGAACACAGTCGTGCTGCACAATATTTTTGTGGAAACTGCTAGATTTTATTTTTCAGGATTCACAGAATAGAAAGTTAAAAAAACAGCACTTCTACTATACTCTACATCCTTGTATTCCTCAAGGCTGCATTAAATTGATCAAAAGTGACAGTAAAGACATTTATAATGTTAAATATTTCTATTTCAAATAAATGCTGTTTTTTGAACTTTCTGTTCATAAAAAACCAAAAAAAAAAAACACATCACTTTTCCCAAAAACTTATTGTGCAGCACGACTGTTTTCAACATTGATAATAATCAGAAATGTTTCTTGAGCAGCAGATCAGCATATTATACTGATTTCTGAAGATCATGTGACACTGAAGACTGGAGGAATGATGCTGAAAATACAGCTGCACATCACAGAAATACATTACAGTTTAACAGATATTCACACAGAAAACAGCTGCATTGTGAGTGTTAATGTGAACCTGTTTCGATCATCAGTCTGTCGGTCGGGATGGACTTCATCACCTCCAGATTCTCTGCTGTTTTCAAGGAGCTGAAATACAGAAACAGAAAGAGTCAGTGATGAATAAATCCAGAGACAAACGTCATTCAGATGCACTGAATCTCACCAGCCGTTGATACCGATGTACAGATCCAGATCGACCAGAGCCGCCGCGTCCTGCAGAGAGCCGTCAAACGAGTGAACCTGACAAACACAGGAGAACACAAGCAGATTATGCCAAAAGATAGATGAATAATGACACTTTTGTCTTTTGGATTGTTTTCAAAATTGATGAATTTTGCAACATTAATGGGCCGTTCACACAGAACGCATTTTTCCATTCCAGTGCACTACTTTACCATTGCTTTTCTATGTAAACACGCTAGACAGATGTGTTTGACCTTTGCACTCGCATCTCGAGACTTTTACACGCAGCGCCGCTCATCAATGTCAGTTCCAAAACAGTGGACCAATCAGAAGACCCCGGAGGCGGGGCAAGTGTTGCCAGCTTTTGTTTACAGTAGCAAGTTAGCATGGCAACAGCTTTATTTGACGGCAGCATGGCGGAGGAGGCGCTCATAGTGGAAGAGTCTGGATACCCTGAATTATATAACATTTCTTTAAGCGATTATTACAACCCGTTTCTTAAAAAAAGAGCCTGGGTAGAAATATCTATGTCACTGAATATATCTGGAGATATCACGACTCAAAAACACATCGCAAACGTTTTTAGACGCAAACACACGGTCTGCTTGAACGGCCCCTAACACTGTTATTTTCCTGTGTATTCCTGTGAAGCTGCTTTGAATCAACCTGTATTGTATAAAGTGCTATAGAAATAAATGTAATGTCAAACACTCACCACTCCACCGACACACCGCTCTCTGTTCCTCTTCATGATGTCTGTGAGCAACACACACAGTGTTTATGTCAGATCACCTGTCACACACTCATCATCTCACACACACACACACACTCCTCCAGACGAGACTCACCCAGGAACTCTGAGTGTGCGTTCCTGCAGTGGAGGAACATGGGTAACTGCGTCTCTTCTGCCAGATCAAACTGCCGCTCGAAGTACCTGTGAGAGAAACACACGTGATGAACACGACGACTCAGAAATCGCCAGCGGAATGTGTGAAACACTCACTTGAGCTGCGTTTCTTTGGGACAAAACTCCAGCCTGTCGAAATCTGTGAAGAGTCAGACGAGAGTTCAACACAGACCAGTGAGGATGAGGATGAAGACGCGGTGAGGATGATGTCACGATGTGATTATGAGATGATGATGCGATGATTATGATGATGCGATGATTATGATGTGATGAAGATGTAATGAGATGATGTCATGTCATGATGTGATTAAATGAAGATGTGATGATATGAAGATGTCATGTGATGATGAGATGATGATGATGTGATAATATTACAATAATATTACGATAATGATATCATGGTTGGTGATGATGCAATGATTATGTGATGATGAGATGAGGATGTATGATGTGATGATCTAATATGATGATCTGATGTGATTTCACATCAGATCATGATGTGATGATTGATGCGATGATTATGATGATGCGATGATTATGATGTGATGAAGATGTGATGAGATGATGTCATGTCATGATGTGATTAAATGAAGATGTGATGATATGAAGATGTCATGTGATGATGAGATGATGATGATGTGATAATATTACAATAATATTACGATAATGATATCATGGTTGGTGATGATGCAATGATTATGTGATGATGAGATGAGGATGTATGATGTGATGATCTAATATGATGATCTGATGTGATTTCACATCAGATCATGATGTGATGATGATATGATGTCATAATGTGATGATGATGATGTGGTGGTGACGATGTGATGTCATGATGATGTCAGGGTGTGATTATGATGTCATGATGATGCTGTCAGGGTGTGATTATGATGTGATGATTATGATGTGGTGGTGATGACATGATGATGATTATGATGTGATGATGTGGTGGTGATGATGTCAGGGTGTGATTATGATGTGATGATTATTATGTCAGGGTGTGATATGATGTTATGATATGATGCGATACTTATAATATGATGTGGTGGTGATGATGTCAGGGTGTGATTATGATGATGATTATGTCAGGGTGTGATTATGATGATGATGTGGTGGTGATGATGTCATGTCATGATGTGATGAAATGAAGATGTGATGATGAGATGATGATGATGTGATAATATTACGATAATGATATCATGGTTGATGATGATGTGATGATGCAATGATTATGTGATGATGAGATGAGGATGTATGATGTGATGATCTAATATGATGATCTGATGTGATGATTATGCTGTCAGGGTGTGATTATGATGTGATGATGTGATACTTATAATGTGATGATGTCAGGGTGTGATTATTATGTGATGATGTGATGATGTCATGTGGTGATCTGATGCGATGATGATAATGTGGGGGTGATGATGTGATGATGATGTCATGATGTTATTACCGAGGCCACACTCTCCCACAGCGATCACCTTCTCTCTGTTACTGAGGCTCAGCTCCGTGAGAGACGCCAGGTACTGATCCGAGCCCTGCTGATCGAACTCAGCGCAGCGCGTCGGGTGACAGCCCACCGTACTGAAGAACTCCTCTGAAATACAACGGATACTAATGTATCAATTATAAAACACGTTACAATGAAACACTGGTTCACATGCTGTTACAGTTGTCACATGACCACAATCTTGATTGTGAGAGTGATTCTGGGATGTGTCAGCAGCACCTCGAGTCTGCGCGAGTCTGAGCGCGTCTCTGCCGTCCTCCAGGTTTCCTCCAGTGATGATGAACTGTGAGGAAGCATCAGGATCAATCTCTTTCTGATCACATACTGTATGATTAATGCATGATGAGCTTTGCTGACCTTCTGCACGCCGAGCTCCAGCGCTCTCTCCACGACCCGAGGAAAATCATCTGACACACAACACACCTCATCATGGAGGAAATACACCCTACACTTACTCTATCCTGATGCACTTGGAAATATCTCACATTACGGAATTGCTTTTGTTTTTTATTATTATTATTAAGAAAACCAAAAATATTATAAGCTTGCATCCAAGCCAAATATTTCAAATATAGTAAAACAATTTACAACACACTTTTAGCTTATATAGCATCACAATATTGAAATGCATTTAAAAGCTCTCTTTATGCACTACTCATGAATATTCATGAACTGACTGCAGATTATTATTATGATCATTAAGTCGTTATGAATTCTAATGAGCTGTCGGTGTCATTACCTTCATGTTTCTGAGTTCCTCTGTAAACTCCTCTGAACATCGGGTCTGTCAGATTAATGCCAATATCTGCATAAACAATCATATCATACATCACGTGCTTTTGTGACTAATACTGTCTGTACCGTAGTTAGATCTGCTGCTCAGTGTTTGCTATGGCAAATAATCGCGCGTTTATGAAATCATCACATTACGAGGTTCTGTTAGCGCCAGCGTCGCTCACCTATGAATTTGAAGTTAGTCATTGTGATTTTAGCAGAGGTAGAAAAATAAAACCTGCAGGCGCTTCTCAACGCGGCCATAAACAGAGAACACGTGGTGGAGTGGGCGGGGCTTCGCGGCCCGGAAGCGCTCGATTGGTGGTCTAAATAATCATTCTAGGCTGAATTTGAATATTATACTAGCATAATACTTTAAAAAGAAGACTTAAGAAGAGATTTCAGGGTTTCACATTATTTGTGGAATATTTATTTTTATTTTTGAGCACAACAAATCTTCTACATATATAAGTAATGCACTGTATGTGTCATGGAAATTCATATAATATAAATACAGTAAACACATCCAATACAATATACAATTATAACCACTGCACATAACAGGAAGTAAACTAAACTACAAATAATTAACTAAGAACTTTAAGGTAATAAATACATTGACTACAATTAAATAACTCACATTAAAGAGGGACTTTTCCCACTATTCATGCATAGAAGGGATTACAAATAATACTTTTTAAAGACTTGAAAAGTTCTTCATACACGTATTTATGAATACAATTCACAGGAAGCATTAATACAAGCCTTGATTTGAGAAAATGTAGCTGATTCAGGAGATTGAGTTTGACCTTTAATGACACACACACACACAGTCACTCACACACACACACACACACACACACACACACACACACACACAGGCACACACACACACACACATACAGACACAGACACAGACACAGACACTCACACACACACACACACACACACACACACACACACACACACAGGCACACACACACACACACATACAGACACAGACACAGACACAGACACACTGTGTAAACAATGAGTGACGTATACGTGCGAGAGATCACTTCCGGCGCTCGCGTAAACTACGGCAGAGCGCTACACACCTCACGCACCGGATGCCGTGTGCGCGCTCAAAGCAGCTGGACATAGTGCTGTATTAGAGGTAAAATATGATATAAATACTGTTGGGTTTCTGGCACAAACCGATGGTTTCGTGTGTTAGGACATCAATGTGTCGTCACGAGCCGCAGGGTTTAATTTGGATTTGTCTGTGCATGTTTTTTTTACTCTCATAGATTTTGTTACCATTGCCATGCATTATACGACTGACAGACTGCAACGGCTGGAGTTAAAAATCATCGTTTGTGTTCTACTGAAGAAACAAAGCCACCTACATCTCGGATGCCCTGCAGGGGGTGAGCAGATAAACATCACATTTACATTTTTGGGTGAACTATCCCTTTAACCCATGCATATCAGAGAACTGACAAAATGAACATTTGAAACTTACTGAAATATTAATTTTATATTAATCTCAAAAGATATTAATCTTAGGAGGAGACAGGAAAACAGAGTTTGGCTGACAAAACATTTGGGTTTCATTGTTGTAAAATGCGATAGACACTTGAATAAGAGTTTTGAAATGTTAAACAGGTTTTAACATTTTAAACATGATTCCTATGTGTGTCTGCACTATCATGTGTGTCGCACTTTCTTCTGCACTGGAAGCTCCTGAAGTCTAATTCCTTGTGTGTGTAAACTACATACTTGTTAATAAAGCTCTTTCTCACTTATTACTGACTTCTGAACACAACACTATGAATCCTACTATTTTGGATGGTTTCACACACCATTTTCATATTAATTTTCATGGTATCCCACAGGCAAAAGAAAAAAAAGCAGCTAAACACAAAGTAAAAACATTATTCATTTGAGGTAAAGCTCGAAGCATAAAGGGTTCACGAGTGTAGCCTACATGACTTTACAATCATTTGTAATATTAAATAAACATCATTCAGTGTGTATTTCAGCTTTTCTCACATCGTCTAAAGAGCTTAATTAAATGTTCTCTAATCCAAACTGTTGCATTTCTTAATTAGAGTAATGCAATTAACATTTGACTTCTACTCAACCAACAGAATAGGCTGTTGCTTTCGTATTTGTAAGAAAATAAAGATGACCAAATAAATCTAACAGCTGTGGTGGTGTTTAAGGGATATATCTCAAACTATTCCATTCAATACAGTAATCAGCTTCATTTTCAATGGGTTTGTGTTCAGAAAACTACACACATATTGTAATTATACTAATGTGCTGTGCGTGCCTGATGTTATACCATTTACAAATGCTACCGCTCAAATAAATATGCATGTGGATATGACCCAAAAATCTAAATAATCCTCTCCCAATCACTGAATGTACCAGCATTGCAAATAAAATGCTTTTCTCACTTAGTATTTTTGTCTTGTTGTTTCCAGTCAATGCATTTTCTACATAAGAAAAATGACAAGGTATTTAGTCTTTTAAGTGTATTTTTCTTATTTCGCAAATTATCTGCCAATGGGTTAAGAAAAATAATCTTGTTTCCGTTTGCATTAAGATAATGTTTCTTGTTTTAAGTCAAATGCACTTAATTTAGATTCCAAAATACTCAGTAGGCCTAAGAAAAGCATTTTTTTGCAATGTGAAAGAATGATGTATTTAAACATCGCTTGCGCTTTAAAAAGCGGAGGAGACCGAAAGAAACTCTGGGTTTAATGAAGAAATCTTGCTCCAGACCAGGTTAGGTTCACAGAGTGTTCCCATGGTAACTGAGTCTGAGTATAAGTTACCTCTCGTTCAGAAACGGGCTTGACTAATTACCCTGCTTTCTCGGGTTTGACAAACCTCTCATTCTGAAACGCAAAACCCAGAGTTTCCCTAATTTCAGGGTTAACATACTCAGAGTTTTCACTTAAAGCAGCACTATGTAACTTTTCTGTGTTCAAAATGTGCAAAATGTAGCCTATATAATGAGCGAGTACATCATGAATTAATCTTCCAAACCGCGTTTTTTTCTCTTACTCCGAATCACTCCGGTACACTTATAATAAGTGCTTATATTCGGACTATTGTAGGCTGGTCACCGCTGCGGAGTAACACACACCTGCGTGAATCGCCATAGACATACACTTAAAGAAGTAGATCCAGTTGGAATGTTCTTCCGCGGGATGCGTGCAGTTCTGTTTATTAACCGCTAGAGCGTTACATAGTTACTTAGTGCTGAAACGGGCCTCTGAAATCAATCAGGTGTTTTATTATTAATGTTTTTATGTCTGAATCACACGTGTGTCTGAACATAAAGATTTAGTTTTAAAGACCTGCACGGTATTTGATGTTGTGAGGTGTACAGTATCAGCAGATATGATGGTATACATGAGCAGATTTTTATATAAAAATATGAATATGAACTTTGAGGCAAATAAAAATGACTAACTAAAAACTAAAAAATTAGCAATATTACATTTGCACACTTTTTTCACTCCTGATGAGTTTGCATGCTGTTGTGGTTAATGAATAATATTTGTTAATCTCAAACGTGCCCGTCTCGCCTGCTTATAATAACTTTTAAAACACTGATCTTAAAGTGCAGTCAATTAATAACCATATATAGATATTCATCCAGATGATGACGAGTTGTGACATTCCTGACTGATGAGACCAGTTCGGTATTTTTATATCATCATGCAGTGTGTGTGTGATTTTCTGTGTAACCAGCATCACCACTAAACTGGAAACCACTAAACCGGCATGAGCTTGGAGCATTAACACGCTCCTACAACAAACATGCATGACTGAATCTAACAGAGCCTGTCTCAGACAGACAGAGTTCAACACCAAACACTAAAACACACAGATGAACAGAAGAAAATTAATGTGCATTCATACACTAGCAGAAAAAAGTTACCGGGGCACTGTACTCTTTAGTACCTTATTGACCTCTAAAAGATGCGTTATAGTACCTTAAATGTGCACATTAATACCAAAAGAGTACATCTAAATGGTGCATGTACGGACCGTTTTGAAAAGGTATCGCACCATTGACAGCTTTTGTGCCCTTTTCCTGAGAGTGTATAAAATGCTTATAAGAGTTGTGCAGTCTTAACCAACACTGACACAATTTTCACTCAGAAATTGCTGGTAAATTTCACAAAGAATTACAAAAAACAGCAAGTAACACACTGAAATAGTATTTTCTTGTAAAACATACTGCAATAATCTTTAGTTTATTTACAACTGCACGCACATGCACACACACACACACACACACACACACTCACACACAAACACTCACTCGCACGCACGCTCGCTCGCACGCATGCACTCACTCACTCACACACACACACACACACACACACACACTCACGCACTCACACACACACACACACACACACGCACTCACGCACTCACACACACACACACACACACACGCACTCACGCACTCACACACACACACACACACACACGCACTCACGCACTCACACACACACACACACACACACGCACTCACGCACTCACACACACACACACACACACACGCACTCACGCACTCACACACACACACACACACACACACACACATGTCTGGTCAGCTATCCTTGTGGGGACTCTCCATAGGCGTAATGGTTTTTCTACTGTACAGACATTTTCAGCACATTTTCATTTCTGGCTGAACTTTGGACGAGTCACATGAGCTACTGTGTTAGTTTCATAATGTTTATGTGTCACGTCTGGCTCATCCACCTCTATTTGTGTACGAGCGGTTCATAACGCACACCATCTTTGTACATATTAGCATGTTTGTTTTTGCAAATAAAGACTAAATAAAATGAGCTCCAAGAATAGCAGTATGCAAACAAACACACAGCCGGCTCTATCGCAGAAAGGACCACAAACATCAGCTCTTCATATCTGAGTAAATCAGATATAGACCGTCGCTGACGCTTAGTACATTTTCTAAACAAATGAGCGGACGAAACCGCTGACCACAATTAGTTAATAATGAACATACAAACCATGTTACAGGAAGACCCCTTTAAAGTCCCGTGAGTGAGTGTGAAAATAGCATTTCCCTCTGTACATCATCCAGGACATGGAGCCAAATGTTCACTCTTAAAATAAAGGCTCCAAACGTGAGATATACAGTGGGGCAAAAAAGTATTTAGTCAGCCACCAATTGTGCAAGTTCTCCCACTTAAAAAGATGAGAGAGGCCTGTAATTTTCATCATAGGTATACCTCAACTATGAAAAACAAAATGAGAAAAAAAAATC